ATTTGTAAACAATTTCATATGTTTTCTTTTGATTTCGCTATACCTCCCTTTGATTTGTAAACAATTACATACGTTTTCTTTTGAATTCGCTATACCTCCCTTTGATTTTATATGTTTTAAATAAACAAATTTAATTCTACAGCTGGATTAATCACCAATTGATATATGAAATTTGGACTTGAGGTAGATCCACGTTTTATTATACGAATCGATTTAGAGTCACTTTCTAAATGGTTTTAAGCTTCTCCGTCCGTCTTTCCTGTTGTCCATATTGTTTTTTGTCGCAGTTTGTTAAATATTTTGGTGAGACTCAGCACCTGAACGTGTCTTGACCCAAGGCCAAAAGCTATTCTTTGGTATCACACTTTGTCAGCTATTTATACACTAAATGGAATCTACAGATGGTCATTACTTTCTTAAAATTTATCCATGAAATTTGAATAGAAAACGAAGAGAAATTTCTTATCCTTTTCATGCAATATTTACTTGTGGTTCAGAATACACTAAGTTTGCGCGGACGTATGTAACACTTGAAGAGGCTTAAGGCAGCCTGTGCGTCTGTCCGCTTGATGTTCAAAATATAGGTCACAATTTTTAGTACACTGATGTGCTTTAATGGAAGGGCGAACTTTATTGAAAATGATTCGCATCGGATCACTTTATCAAACACTTCCCACATGAAGTCGTCATTTTGAGTGCCTGTAGGTTAATTAATGGTGAATGGTGACCCACTAGAATGTGTTTACCTTTTTAAATTTCGGTATACACAAGTAACTAACTAAATGTAAAACACGAAAATCTAGAGTCATTAACAGGTATTACTACTTAAGTGTATAAACTTCAAATTATTTAAGATTTTTCTGGAAGGATAGCAAGAGTCCACTCTCACTCGCCTACCTTAAGTTCTTTTAACCGAATGAAACTCGCTATCCACATTTGGTCAATTTACTTTAATATCTGCCCTAATTAGCTACGTAACGTCGTATATGATTCGCGTGCCAACTTGCCCAAAATTGACAACAAGTTTTGCAAACTTTTATATTGACATAGTGGATGTCAAAAATTTTTGTTGTTTTTTGCTTCTGTATAGAAAATATACATTGGTTTTCTAATATGGAATAATGTCTTCTTAGTAATAATTAATTACTATTTGGATCTCTTTTAAGATTCAAGTGCAATTTTTTTGTTAATTTTCTTTGCCTTCACATTTTTTGATTGCTTTTAAAAAAAATGAATTTTTAAAAAAAATTTTTAAAAATCTATATAGGTTTTATGCAAATTTAATCAAAATAATCAAATTTCTATTGTTTTTGTAAATATGAATTTTTTTAATTGAAAGTCATTGTTGTAAGAAATTAATTTCAAAAATTGTAAAAAAAAAAAAATATAATATAATAATAAGTATATGGAACGTTTAACACTGTGTTATATATGAAAATATTTTCTAATGTTTAAGAATTAAATAATAAATAAAAAAAAAGTAAACAAAATCATGAAAATAAAATTTAGAAAAAAAGCATTGTCAACGAACAGCAACACGATTCGATTTTTTTTTTATATCTTTTAGAAATCTGACTACATTTATAGCGAGTCCGTATCAATTGCAAATGTTCTGAAACATATTACAAACTTTAATGAATTTTATTATCTTACCACAAGTAGAAATATTATACTTGACCATTACCACCGTTTAACACCCTATGTCGCTTAATAAAACCATTCATATAATGACTTTTCAAAATAAGACTTCCTCTAGTAAAAGCGGTCGAAAATGTGATCGGATCTGGACCATTTTTAGTAGCGTTCGTTCTTCAGCCAAAACACACCGGTGTAGCAAAATTCATCAAAATACCTCCAAAATTGTGACCTCCATAGATCACATAAAGCCCAGGTTGCAAACGATGTGCAATTAAATATTTATACTATATACGTTGTATCCATATAATTGAAAAAAAAATAAGTAAAAAAACTGTAGTCGATCAAGACACATTATTAAATACGCTACATCGCTCTACAGTTGTTCTTATAACGATTTTTTAAAACTGAGGCGTTCTATGGAAAGTGACCGAAAATGTGGTCCAACCCGAACCGTTTTCTGTAGCTCTCGTTCTTGGCCCAAAATACGTAAGCATACTACGCTGTTCTTAAGAACTGCGGCTTTCTAGACTGAACACAAGAAACAAGACGGACAGATGGGCAGATAAGCTTAGAATCCGGAATCACTTTCTGGATCGATCGGTTTGAAAAAAAAAGTTGACCTATCTCATGTCCTTCTGAGTATTACATGCATTCATTCAAACCTGATATACCCTTGTACCACGAGTGGTGTAGTGTATAAACCCTTGACTGTACTAAAAGTAGAAATTTTAGTTTAGAAGTTGCAAGTCAAACAAACGTTGAGCATAAGAAAACTTTCATTGGAAATCTAAAGGTAGAAATTTTATGGAATACAAGAAACTGAAAAAGCGAAAGAATACCCTATAATCTTCACAAGTTGCCCTCTTGACGGAAGTACGTTTTTATGATCAACTCTTTTTAAAATTGACTTCGTTTCACCGAATCTTGATTTTTAGGAAAAAAAACCGATGTACACGAACTTATATTTCTAATGTTTCTTCTGGTCTGGTCCCTTTGATCATTACGTTTCAAGTCTTTTGACCCGATCGAGTTTGCCTTCCGTCAATTATTTTGCTTTTATGCCCTTTTACAAGCAAGTTCTCGTTGCCTAACTTCATTATGATATTTTTTGTGCTAATCCCTTCTTCGCCTAATTATTTTTATTCCTTTTGCCAGTCGCAATGAATATGTATTTGATTTTACCATCTTTTGGAGTTTGGTTTCTTAGAAGATCGATTAGATTCCATGGATACTCAAATTATCAAAGGGGGATTTTCGGTAACAATATAAAAGAAAACGTATAGAAGATAATTAGAAGATGGATATTTTTTGAAAGTGTGAAACAAAGACGATGAAGACTGAAAACTGGTTGAATAAACTAAAAGCTAAGAAAACTAGCGAGGAATACAAATTGAATCTAATTTAACTGAACATACAGATTGATTAGATTAGATTAGATTAGAACTAGGAGGGAGTATTTAAAAGTAAAATAATTATATTTCGTCTATAAAGCGTTATAGACTCTGAACGCAAATCCAGTTAAACCAAATAGAGTGCAATTACGAAATGACCTAAATAGTTGCATATAACTTAATAAATATTTAACACAATGAGCTCTAATCCTTCGCCAATAGTGGCGAAATCCATGTATGTGCGTATGTTATCCGAATTTAAAAATTTTACTTCAATTTTCTTTTGACGATTGCATTGGATAGCATACTTCCATACTTCCACTTCTCCCCGCTCATGTTTTTAAAAGTTTTTTTTTTCTTATTTGTTTTTTGCAATATCGAAAAAAGTATATATTCGTATAACGATTTGTAGGAATTAGAGTTTTGTCAAACTTATTTCACTTAGGGAATATATACACAGAACTTTTTCACATTTAATATAGAAGTGCAGTATTGGATAGTACACTATGCTAGTTTTATCATTCTATTTGTAACAAACGATTTATATGCTAAAGAGAGTTAGTTAGGTGTAGAAGTAAGTTCTCACCATTAAAATTGATCGCTTCATAACACAAACCTCACACAGCAAAATTTTCCCGAAATTTTCGATATAGATAGCTTGATGGACATTGATGCTTGTATGACAAACATGACCTATTTCTGCACCTAACATTTTTGATATTGCTAAGCAAAGGTTTTTCCGAAAAGCTGTTTCTACCTTTTTTGTGTTTTTGCGCCACTCGCGACTATGCCTGGTGGCGGCTTGACCAAGGTGCAACGTGCCGTCTACATTCGCTTCAGCTCGTCTCGACGTCAAATCCGACTAAATGTACGTTAAGAGTGGGTTGAAAAAAAAAAAATGTGCTCTCAGAGGCACGTGAAGGTATGGCGGCACTTGAAAAGGGTTTTAAATAAGTTAGTGGACTTTATATGCAAAACAAAAGAAGAGCCGCGCTAAAAAAAAATTTTTAAGAAGAGACTCATGAGTTTAGCTAAAAAATGTTCATGTTTTGTTATTTAAATAAAAGGAGAAACAAACACATTGAAGAAAACAAGATAAATCGATCGATCTGATTTAATTTAGTGCACAGGAAAATGATAAATTTTTAAGAAAACAAATGAAAACTTTGACTATTTTACATCAAACCGGGAACTGGGCAAAGTTGGTGTTCGAGTTGTAGAAGGGAAGGATAAGGAAAATAAGGAGAAAATAATCAATCGGTTTTTTAAAAATATCAAGGAGAAAGGAATGAGTTATCGAACAGTCTGCTAATTGTCGGTGCACCAGCATAGCGGTTTTGCCGCACTTGCATTTGTCT